CCTCACTGCACGCTGCGGCGGCTGCTGCAGCCCGAGGCGGGGCTCGCGCTTCCGGGGCTGCGCACCGCATGGACGCGACTCCACGCGGCGCTGACGGAATCCCTCGACGCACGGGATTCGTCGAGGGTCGGGGGGAATTTAAAGAGGGCTCGTCGCCGGCGATATAGCCTCGATGAGGACGACCCCACGCGGGTCGATCCGGGAGAGGGGGGGGCGTCGGAAACGGCAAGGAAAGGGGGGGGGTCGCGCCGAGGGTTGTCTGGCGAGGCATCCCCACCCGGCGGAGTTGAGGACGACGTCCTCGAGGCGCTTCATCAGCTCGCGAAGACGTGCGAGGGTATCATGGCGGATCTGGAGCGGTGCAGTATGGTCGATGCCCTGCATCTTATGCAGACGATGCTACTTCAGGAATTCACCAGTGCCCAGCTCGATCGGTATCACACGTTCCCAGGGCGGGAGGAATCGGTGGATGGGAATCCGGTAACCACGGAGGGCGATTCCACCCCGATTCAACGGCGGCGGAAACTTCACATGGCAATCAAAGACGCGGTGGATGCCGTGCTTCAGGATCTAGAGGAGTGTGATCGGCATGTGAAGTGGAGACTAACCTATGCGGTCAACGCGGAAATGACTCTGCGGACACCGAGGGATGTGCAAGAGGTAATGCGCCCCGGTGTTTCGGAGGAAAACCTTGTTCTCCAGCAATACTTTTTGGAATATTAAGTCAAGTTCCCCACAAATCTTCACAATTTACACAAATGAATTTGCTTTAGATTCTCCGTCTTTCGACGAGTTAAGGGTGGGGTTGGCAGTGTGTTGTGTGTGTCGTTGTGTAGTTGTTATTTCGAAGGAAGCGGATAGCTGTAGGTAAGCATGAAAATTGGAAGCATGGGGAGGTAAAATGAGTGAGGGCAGTGTAATCTCTCTCTTTTAAAGCTATCCTACCTTTTGGTCACATACTGAATGGAGTTGACTTTTTCTAATCCACAGTCCCATTGATAATTCCAATTTTAATTGTGCGAAACATGTTGTCTCAATGAAGTGCATTTTATTAGAATTGTGTGGGACCCCTTTTTTCATTCTCATCCACATTCTGCCGCCTTCCACAACGACCGATCTGTTTTAGAAAGGATTCTACAAAAGCACGAGAGATAACTCACTAGTATTTCTCTGCCAGATACAGTTGAGATATACACGGTAGACATACGGCAAATTCTTCATTGTTAGTATTGGCTATATTGCATTTAGCTTGCCACTCTCACTCGGACGCATACACGAAATAAAGGAAGTGCTATATTGGCCCTCACTTACGAGGAAAGCGTTCAGACAGGAAGTCTTGATATTGTATCATGCAGACCAACGCCCCACTGGACCCCGAACGGGAGTCCCTTATAAGCAATGTTATAAAGAAAATGGTCGAACGGAACGGCATCAACAACCGACTTCGTAAAATCGATGCCGATACCAAGTTGGTTCAGAAGGAGCTTTTATTTGTTCAGGACCAAACCCAAGCGCTGTTGAGCATCGGGCACTATATTGGGGAAGTCCTCAAGCGCGTCGACGACGAGCGGTTTATTGTGAAGAGCATCAGTGGCGCTCGGCACCTCGTGGGGTTTAAGAAAAGCATACAGCCGGAGAAGCTCAAGTTCGGGGCGCGGGTGGCGCTGGAGGTGACGACTTTGACCATCGTCAAACTCCTGCCGCGGGAGGTGGATCCGCAGGTCTACAGTATGAAGTACATGAGCGATGAAAAGAATGTCTCCTTCCAGGAAATCGGCGGCTTACAGGAGCAGATGCGGCAAATGCGTGAGGTGATCGAGCTTCCCCTGACGAATCCGGAGCTTTTTATACGGGTTGGCATCGTCCCGCCGAAAGGGGTGTTGCTGTATGGTCCACCAGGGACTGGGAAGACGCTGCTCGCCAAGGCCATCGCCTCGAACGTGGATGCCGCCTTCCTAAAGGTGGTGGGGTCCGCGATTGTCGATAAGTATATCGGGGAGTCCGCGCGTATCGTTCGCGAGATGTTCGCTTACGCCCGCGAGCATGAACCGTGTATTATCTTTATCGATGAGGTAGATGCCATTGGCGGCAAGCGTATCGAAGGGTCGTCGTCCGATCGTGAGATCCAGCGTACGTTGATGGAGCTGCTCAACCAGATGGATGGCTTTGATCAGCTCGGTCGGGTGAAGTTGATCATGGCAACAAACCGTCCGGATACCCTGGATCCGGCCCTCATGCGGCCTGGTCGACTTGACCGAAAGATTGAAATTAGTCTGCCCAATGAAGCCGGTAGACTTGATATTCTTCGAATCCATGCCGCGAAGATCACCAAGCGCGGTGAGATCGATTATGACAGCGTGGTGAAGCTTTCAGAGGGCTTTAATGGTGCGGATCTGCGCAACATGTGCACGGAGGCGGGTATGTTCGCGATTCGTGCGGGTAGGGACTACGTCGAAAGCGACGATTTTAACAAGGCGGTGCGAAAAGTGGTGGATATGAAGCGTCTGGAAGGGCAAGCACATCAGTACTCTGTACAATAATCCACCCTCCATCAAGAAAAAAAAAGAAGAAAAAAGAGGATCCTAACCACCCCAATGCACGAGTGCTTTTCTTGTTTCCCATCACTACACCTGAAGAGTTGAGTACATAAACATGTGGACACCTATTTTTACGCTTTTGTATGCTTACGTGTGTGTATTCTCACTTTGAATGGGCGTATATGTGCCTACAAAACTGTAAGTGAGAATAAGGAAACAAGGAAACTCATTCCTTGTTTGGTTCTACCATTTCTCCATCTCTTTGGTGACCTCCGTTTCGCACATTTCCATATTTCTACCCTTATTACTGAGCACGGTGTGAACTTTTTGGTATATTCTATCCTATTTTAAGTCTGTTGTTCAGTCTGATGTGCGATTTGTCGTGATAATAAAGAATCGCCGTCATAAACGATTGTTCCAGTATTTGGTGTGCCAGGTCGGATTCTTTTTCTTTAAGCTAATTTGCGTCACAGCTAATGCATAGTTCTATATCTAAAATGAGCAAGAGGGGGGGCAAGTTTTGTCTTATTAGGCCCCTTTGTGTATTCATCGGTAGTGCCGGTGGTGTAGCGGAGATGACGCGATGGAAGGTTTCCGATGATGATGTTTAATGCAATATATATTTATTTACCGTCTCATGTGTTCATTGGACTCTTTAAACTACGATCATTTCTAGAACATCTGTGCCGCCAAAAGGGGGAAAGATGGAATCTCCCGCGTTGTAAGGAAATATCAGACCCTTATTTCCCCATCCCTACACGGGACTAGAAATTCAAACTGAAGCACTCACTTCAGGTTAGCAACATTTGCATTCACTCTTTGTTTTTATTATGTATTTATCGTTTCAATAGAATAATAAATAATTGTATAATAGTCCGTAAGAAAGTTTTATAGATTTTAATTCAAAGACTTTAAAAATATATACACTCTTATCTCTCAGATACTTGTCAACAAAGAGTTCTCATGTGCATGCGTAGCGCACAGAATTTTTTGTCTTGCTCAGAATGGCGGTAATCCAGAGGATTAGTTTGCCCATTTTAGATGGCACGCGCTACTCGGCAATTCGTGTAGTGCATTTTCAGTTCCTATTTTTTATCGTTTTGATTCTTTTGCTTTTTTCTTCCAATGCAACGTTAGTTGAGTCAACAACATACCACGCTCGAGCGAGGTTCACGTTGAAAAATCTATCTGATTGCAATAACATTCCATCTTTTTTGAATCTTAGTCGCTTCAAAAGAGACAATCACGCGTCCAATTCGGTGAGTCGTTATGACCTAAAGGGGTTTACGCTGTTTATGAATTCTATGCTGAAGCCCCTCGATGCCTTAAATACCTATCTGAGTGAAATGATGGGAAATGACGCATTTTTCTTGATGAAAGGTGGCACTATTCGTATATCAATGGAGCCTGAAAGCGTTAGGCTACATCTAGGTGTGCTTAAAAAATTTCAAAAACAGTATACGTTAAATGACACTCAGAATTCCTCCCATATCTCAGAATCTAGCGCTAATTTCTCGGTAACCATTGATCACTATTCCCCCAGAGATATAGCGTTTTTACTCTACAACAACCCCCGTCTTCATTATTTGTACAATGCACCAGTAATAAGCAAGGCTTACTACAACGGAAGTGCAAGCCACGGTAAGTGTGTTTGGGAAGCGAACAGACGCACACAAGCAAGCAGGGAGATTCTCACACAAAGCTTTCTAATCGCAGAGGTTGACGTGCAAATCCGTATATTTGAGGCTACGACGTGGTACCAGATGGTTCGTCATTTTGAATCCAATAATCACAATTCCGTCACGGATCATAAATACTCGCCACATTTTCAGGGTGATGCATATCCTGACGCGCGTACGATGGATGAACTTTACTACGGTGCGATCCGAAATGCAGAAAAAAATGGCTACTCTATCGACAAATACTCTTCGTACATTTGTAGCGCCCCTGCGTTATATGTGATACCTCTAAATAAACTCATTGAAAACAATGTGTTCAATATCCTCCATCATTTCTCGAGCGACAAGAGTCTCTCAGAGATCAGTTTAACCCATGAATACCCCCCTATATGGCTGGTGCCGACGCTCGTTCAGTGTTCGAACGTCCCTATGGATATCAACGTTCGTGTTGAACTAGAGAACCCGGGCGGCTACGTCGGGAGTGGTGAGTACTACCGCATCTTCGTCGTCTGTTGCATCATCGGCGTCATCAACGGGAGTCTTTTGTGGATATTTATCATCAAAACTATTCGCTGTCCGGGGCGTTCTCCTCCTTCTCCTCCTTCTCCTCTTCCTCTGTCGGTACCTCAGAGCCTCACCTTGGGGTTGCTGCGAGATATTTCCCGTGGCGACGTCCCAGACGCGACCCCCTCAGAGAGAGAAGGAAAACGAGGACCTTCCTTGGGGCGGCGGAAACGTGGCGCTCACACCGGTAGGTTTTTCACCTCCATCCTCCACCCCCCATTTCAATCCCTGCTCCTCGCGATGTTTCTCATCAAATTTGCAGATCTCAGCCTCAGCGGCGCGCAGTTTCTCTGGCTGGCGCTTTCGAGAACGCAGGTGGATATCTACACCATCCGTGGGATTTCAATTGCCCTGTCGTTGTTGGGCGATGCCCTTTCGATGACGATAGAGATGATGGTCTCGATGGGAATCGGGATGGCCTACAAACGAATCTGTAGAAGCCAACGACGCGTGATTTTCGCCTTATGCATCGTCTACCTTCCGATCAACCTCTGTGCGCGGTTGTGTTGGAGTCGAGGCATCATCACGACCTTCATCTTAGACGCGAGGGCGTGGAAAAACGAGGGGGTGTATTGCACCCTCGCGCATCTTTTCGATATCGTCTTTGTCGTCTTTTTCCACGTGATCAACGTCCGTCGGTTTTTTTTACTCGTATCTCGTCTGGGACGGTTGGTGGCGGCGCAGTTCCACGAAGGGGCCCGTGCGGAGGTCCCCGGAACGGCCGATTTGGCGTGTTTTGGCGAGAGCTCCAATGAGGAGGATCTCCCAACAGCACCCCCTTCGACGCAAACGGGAGGTCCATGGGAGGGTGAAACAGGGCGAGAAAGCGCGCGGGAAGGAGGGGAGGGGCTCTTGCGTAGTGGGCGGCGTCTGATGAGGGAGGAAGCGGGAGGCAACGGCGGCCATCCCGCCTCATCGACGCGGTCATCGCGTTGGATGGACCTCGACGGCCGCGAGGCGCCTCCGAGGGCATCCGCAGATCCTTCCACGGTGTTAGAGCCCAACGAAAGAAGGTCACCCGAGGACGCTAAGCGGCGACGCGAAATCTGGATTCAGGTTCGCGCGATGCGGCTATTCTTACGCTATCGCGAAATGAGGTTAGCGTTTCTTTTGCTTCCTTTATGGCCTCTGCTTTTTATTATGCTTTCCATTCAGTTTTACGGTCCAGAGGATTTCTATATGCGCGTGATATTTAGACACCTTAAGGATACGTACATGATGGGGATTGTCCTCTTGTATATGACAAAAGAGGATAGATCTAGGCAGAAAAAAACATAATACCTAAATAGGCGCGGACGTACTTGATGTTGAGTTCTGTTGTGCCCAGTGAGGCATGAAAAAAATATTTTCTATGCTCGTCAGCCACATTCACTTGTATATTTGCGTTCTCTCGACCCTCCGCCCTCTTTGCACAGAGTGCCTTTAGGGATTTGAGAATGCGTACACTGTGTGCTTGCTTTCGTTTTGGCCTCTCCCTCGAATCTTTCTTAAAGGTGGCGAAGGGGAGTGTTTTGGTCTGAGAAGATGTGTTACTGTTTCATCAGTATTTCGAATTTCATTACAAAATAACTTTAGAGTGATAGGATGTGCTTTTACTTCTATTCTGATCAATTCATTCGTTAATCGACCCCTTTCTTTTCTCTCCACACAAACAGCCCCTGTTTTGAGCGACAGTTCTTATGCGCATGTAAAGTATTTTCTCACGAAATTAATCTAGGGAAACAATATTGACACTTTGAAAACTAACAACCAAGAGTAGGAAAGGAGTAACTTTCATAGGGAGAAGGGGGGGGTCTATTTTTCCCTCTTGTTTTCTTTCCCATTTCATCCTCTATTAATGTCTACGACTAGCTCCTTTGAGGACCTATTTCCGTTGTCAGGGCGCGCAAACGTGCAGGCCTCGAACAGCGACGACAGCGACGATGCGTTTGTTATTTTATCCGATGTCGAGCAAACGAGCCTCCTAACCTTGGTGGATCGACGTCGACTTCAACGGGATCGGAGCCGCCTGCAGCGCGAGGGCGTCTCCGCGAAGGAGGCAGAGGGAAGCCCTTCTCGTCTGAACGAACCCCCAACCCTCCCGTCGGCGACGGCGTCGAATTCCCCCCCCCCTGATCCAACGTGGAGGAGGGGAAAGGAAGGCCAACCGCACCCTCGCCAGGGCCGTTCGCGATCACCCTTTTTCTCGCCCGGATCCGCGTCTCCCTTCGACGAGGTCGAGGAGGAGAAGCGGCAGCGGCAGTCCGCCGGTTCGGGGGCGTCGGAATCTCCCCCAGGGCGTCCTCAATGGAGGGGTTTTTTAAACCTCAACGTCGACGACGACGACGTGGCAGACGAGGAGGGGAGCTCGGGAAAGGGGCTCCCCGTGGAAACCCCCAGGGGCGATCCCCCGCAAGGAAACCACAAGGAGAGAGAAGGGGAAGGGCAAGAAGAAGAAGAGGGCGACGGGGGTATCGCGGCAGCTTCAAACGTGGCTTCAATCGCAACCTGGCGCGACCTCGCCGTGGAGGCCCGTCGACGCTGGCGCGCGCTCCCCCCGCTGAATCTGCAGCAGCAGCTTTCCCTGCTTATCGTCCTGCTTTTCCAGGTGAACCTTCTCGTGATTGATCTGGCTTTCTTTTATTATTTCAAGAAGGTGCTCATCTTCACGCGGCCGCAGGGCCTCTGCGAGTCCGGGGGAAAGGGAGGCCCGCCGGTCGCCTTCGGGGAGCTCCCGTCGCGAGGAGGGATCCTGGGCGGCAATCCCAACCCCCCGTGCAGCACGAAACGCATTTCCTCGCTGGCGGTCTTGATGCTTTGGTTGCTCTTACCAAACGGTTTGATTATCCGGGGGATTCTCGATAACCACTCGGCGCCTGCAGGGCGAGAGCGGCGCTCAGCCGCTGCCCTCGTTGCCTCTTTGGAGAGCCCGCGAAGGCGATTACGCGCGCACGCGGAGCAAGGAGAAGGGTTTTTAGAAAAAGGGGGTGTCGTCACCCTACACGATCAGGACCCCCCTCCTCCGGATGAACGAAAGAAGGGGGTGAAGGGCATTTTTCACTCGCTATGGAGGTTGCTGAAACTGACGTGGCGAGATGCCCAGGCGATTGATGGGCATCTGCGGTTTGCTTATTGGATTTGCTGTGAGGGGATGGCAAGTTATATCCTATCGAGGGATAAACCCATGTCGAGATGAGCTGTTGCTTCCTTTTTACCCACTCGCTTGCTTTTACTTTAATAGCATTTCTTTGCACTGCCAAGAGCTTGCAAAGGGAAACGAAGACAAAGTCCATCGTGTCCTTTTTTCCCCCACTAAGCCAGGCATGAAACTACGCCAACTTAGGGAGGTATTTATAACCAGTGATGCTCGTAAGTGAGAATCTTTCTCCTTGGGCGAAGTGTCAATGTGGCGGAGTATGTGCTTGTTGCTAAATATCTTTCCCCCCTTTAGCTAGATATATATACTAGAAGCGAAAAGGAGATGCACTTAGCGTGAATTTATTTTCATTATGATGCTTTCTTATGCATTTATTCTCACAGAGTATTTTTCCCTATTGGTTTTGCCTCAATAGGCTACCATAAATATGCACTCCATCCCCGCCGATATACTTTGTTGTATTTGTGTTAAAGGATGTCGTAACACGGTGGAGGAAAGAGAGGTTTATTTATATTACTTTCCAGAACGTATTCTATCTTCGTTTAAATGGAAAAGGGGAAATTGGACAGGGCACGTTGCGAATCCCCCCAGTACTACCACCATATCGAATGCATAACTTCTCATCCTGTTGTTTCCTCGCTCCTCCACGATCATCTCTACCCCATCTATCTTTACACACAAACTCACAAGTATTTTCCATAGCCAACCCTCATTTGCGAGGTGAAAACGTGTGGGACCCCTCACCACTTCTTAGAAGATTAAAAATACCCATCCCTTGGGGATCATCATTAGACTCCAAAAGGACCTAATCGTTGCGAGTGTCGTCGTCGGAGTGGATGAAACTTCTTAAATTCGTGAACTGCGACGCGCCGCAGACCTTCTCGGGCGTGGAGCTCACCTCTCAGCGGCTTTCCTTCCCCAGCTCCACCTCCCCTGCTGGGAAGGCAAAGGCGTGGTCGCTCCAACCCGCCCCCGCGACCCTAAAAGGAGGGGGTTATTGGCTGCTCGACGACGACGGGAAACCGATTGGGGTCCTCGACGAGGTTCTCCTCGCAATCCCGGAGGAAGGGAAGGAAATCGCCACGAGCAGCTCCCTCCCTCGCGGCGTCATCACCCCACGGGATATTCAGGATCTCGACTTTCGGAGTAAACTCGGCCGACAGCTGGAGCGCACCCGTGCGGAGTACGGGGTAACATATAAGACGGCCGCCAAGTCCGCACGGGCGTTGATGGATACCGCGGAGATTAACGAAAAGCGCCAGGAGCGGATGAAACGCGAGCGCGAGGCCGTCGTCGAGGCGATTGAAGCCGGAGAATCAGTGGTGGATAAAGCCAAGACAAAGCGCGTGAAATCGCAGGCAAAGTAGCCGAAGGAAGCGGGAGAAGGGGGGAGGGGGGAGGGGGCTATTTAGTAGCTCCTATTTTATACTCATCCCTGCATGATGAAAGGAAAGATGATTTCCTTTAAAGCAAGGAGAAAATCAAAGGGTAAGTGTGGCACGATTGTCCAGATGTGTGCAATACGCTACGTGATGAGGATGCTGGCTGTTAATCAGAATCCTAAGACGTATAGTGGGGATGAGGTTGGGAAAAAGGGGCTTGGTTCTTCGTTCGAGCGTGCGGTGCTCCGTTGCATGTGTGGCTTCTACTAAGCTTAAAGCTAATTTGGATTATTGATTTCATCGTATAAATAATATTAGGGCTAAAATCAATCGGTCTTCGCGTGTCTATACGCACACCGGATGCAGATAGCCAGGTCCGTGTAGGGAAAAGGCGCTAATATCAAAAATATGCTGATTAAGTCATGATACCCTTTCCGTTTCGAAGCTGATAATGTATTTCCCTTTTCCCTATCTTTTTCCCACATGGTGGGTTCTACAAAAAAAAAAAACGACAAGAAAAGCCGCGCGACGTGTATACACGCGCACACGTGTGGGCGAAAGAGTCTTCAAGTGGGATTATTTTTTTTCTCACGTTTTCCATATATAGATAGTTTCATATTCCCATTCACATCAAGAAAGAGAAAAGGGGGGTTGACCGATCCCTACGGATCCTACCAAGCGCGCGGGTTGATCTATCGATCCACCCCATCGATACCGAAGGATGCCACGAATCGGACCGTATCAGGTTCCTTTCCCCTTCCCGCCGTACGAACTTCAGGAGCATGCCGTCACGGAACTCCGCAAATTCCTCGACGGCGACCCGTCCGATCCGACGACGCGGGATCGATCGGATGGGGAACCCCCCCTTTCCTCGCGGATGGTGGTGTTGGAATCGCCGACGGGGACGGGGAAATCCCACATCCTCCTGAGTAGCGCGCTTTCGCACTTCTTTTCCCCGGTTTACCCTTCCCCGGCGGGGGAACTCAGCGGCGATGCGGCCGTCCCCCGCCCCTCTTCGCGAAACCCCGCCGAGGAGGCTCCCGCGCTCGGGGAATCCCCTCCTCAGGACCCCCCGCTTTCCTTGGCGGCGATTCTTCGCCAACGACAGCACGACGACCTCCTCCGGCAGCTCAAAGACGAGCGACGCGCGCGCGTG